AATAATAATACATATGATATTTATAGCGTACCTATTCTTATGAGTTATGACATTCTTTATAACATATTCTGAAATTTCTATTCTTTTCGTTTAATTGAAATGTAAAAATGGAACAAACAATATATCATAATTACAATACATTTACTTAAATGTAAATAATTTAATTTTTATTAAATTAATAATTTTTTTTTGCATTAATTTTAACCCAATTTTTCATAAATTAACAACGTTTTTACTTAATCTTCATTTAAAATTAAGTGATAAAAATTAATTAACCAATAAACAAATTTAATGAATAATGATTAATAATTTTAATATAATATTAAAATGTATAATTCACAAAAATATAACTAAGATGATCTTTATGTATTTTCATTTTTTTAAATACATCATTGACTATAATATTATATATATTTATAATATTGAAGATAAGTAAATATAAAACTGGGATTTGTCTATGTATTTTGATTTGAAGTTTTGCCAATAATATATTGGAAAATCTGTTTACAAACACACACACAGAATTTGAGTGAATGACAAGATTTGTTTGCGTGAGACGATATAAGGAACAGTTTTGCGATATCCTTAAGTCTATTTACCGATGGCTGTTTACGATTTTGCTGTCAAAGCAATTTCGAAAGGGACGTTTTCATACAGTGGGGTTCATCAAAGCTATTGGGGAGCAGCATAATCCACAAGCTTAAACCCAATAAAATATTGAATCATAACTGAAATGCATAAGGCTTTAAACCGATGACAATAAATAAATCAATTAAATTATTGTCATAATATTTATTGATCGATCATGTCTTTTAATACAAGAGTAGGTATAATATATTATACTATATTATAAAATGAATATTGTGAAAAGCATTAAAATTAAAATTCACTAAACTATCATTATTATTTGTTGCAATTCATAACTAAACAAATTCGTGTACCAACGTATAATATGGTATCGTTAAAGGTTTGATTATTTTTATTTGAATCCTTTTTTTTCTATTGAGTTAAGGCTTTAACATATTATATGTTTATGAACCCGAAGGTTTAAAACTGCAGGGGAGAGTAAGGTATACATACATAGTTACATGCCAAAGATTTGCCACTAAAATCCGGGTGGTCACCAATCCAGGAACTCATAACACCAATTGATACTTAACCTCAGAACACCTTTATGACTGATACACATCCTGCTATTCCTGCTATATCAGACTACATTTTTATTACCAACACAAACGTAATTTATTATACTGTACAGAGATAATCTATTGTCTATATGTCTATAACAAGATATCTTGTTATATACATAAATTTATTAATAAGTTGAAAATAACATCTTGAAACTAACATTAATTTTATTTTTGTAGTTTTTTAAGAACTTGACTACTGAATAAATTATACTGATTAGTATTAATAATATTTCTCATATTGTAATAGAAAATAAAATAGGTCAAAATAATTAAAAGTTATAGGGATATTAAACGTAATAAATATAACGATTTATTTAATTATATTGACATATTATAAGAACCAATTTAAAAATTTCAATTGACATCAATGATACTATGCACTAAACCGTAAATAATTTTTAGTACCATCATTAAACATATGTTCTTAAACTGTTTATCTATGAAGATAATTCTTCGAAATAAATATATGAATTTAATTTAAATTATTTAAAATAAGAATAGAATACTAAAAAATATTGAAAAAAACAAAATTAGACACACAATTTTCATAGTAAGTATATTTAGGTAATAACATTGCGGTATGTTTGGTATTCCTAGGTATTATTTAGTTTATTGTCGTGGATAAAACATTTTTATATTTCAAAGGTTACATTTGAAATGTCTTAATTTTAATGTGATTTCATTAACTTTGAAGCACCTTTTCATGCATCAATCTAAGGTTTTTAAACGTACCTAAATCAGTGGCGATTGTTGGATAGTTTTATGGAAGGATAAAATAGCTTTATTGTCAGCATAGTCAGCTACGAGGTTGATATAAAAAATTGGTTGACCAGAAAAGATGATAATATTGAGAAACTTATGAAAGGTCATAATTATTGCTCCTTGTAATACACTAACTTTATGTGGAGATATGTAAAAAATTCAATTCTACACGAACTGCAAAAGTGCGCCCAATAAGATAGGATTTAATTATTAAGTAATATGAAGGAGATAGGAACGATTTTATTTTAAAATGGTGGTATAAGTACCATACACGATTGAAAGCTTAGGAAATTACTAGAAAAGTGCCATATAAAGTTGAAGTATTTGATATGTGACTATCTTCTGTGAAAACAAAATTGAATACCTATCTAACAAAATTCAAGCTTTTTCAATAATTGGATAAATTTGTATAAACCAGATTTTTGAGAATAGAATATAGAGAATATAATGTTTCCCATAATTGAGTTAGGAAATAAGCACACCTGATATTGGATGTGGAATTACCGAAATTAAATTTAATATCTCTCTCACAAAATGTAAATCACGGATAAACCACTATTATCTTTATTTATATTGAAAAGTATGTTATGTACTTATGTAAGTATAATAAAGTTAGTCGTTTATAAAATAAATATKCGTATGGTTTATGAAAAATAAAATAAAAATATAAACTAATGTGATATAGTTTATCGACTATAATTGCTATATTTTTATTAATAGCATAATATAGAAAATTACCATTTATAGTTATAGGCTTATAGCACTGTGATACAACATAAAAATTTTGTTTTATAATAATAACATAAAGTACACGATATAGGTATTATCCGTTTCATGAAATGGATGTCCAAATAATGTATTTTCGTCAAAATTCATGAACTGAATAAATTTCACCATCTACATATCCAATTCATGAAATAAGTGGTTTCGACTATGAGGATGCGACATATATAAATATAATATGAATTAGGAGGTATTTATAGACAATTATATATTTATATGCTAGTTCTACTTTATATGCAAACACAACATAAACTTTCAATAAATGAAGCATACAATTCTTAGTCATTTTTGTTCACATTTAAAAAAAGACCTGAGCCCCGAATATATTATATAAGTACTACATGCAATTTTTTTAAGTAGTTTTATAGTTAGTGTCGGTGATATGACATGCCGATAATAATCAAATAAGTTGGAAGCAATAAACTCAATCGATACACCGAGGAAATCATTGTTATATTGTTCATATATAATATAATATTTAGCCATGTTAATCATGCAATCGGTATACAATGTGTGGACATACAAGCTGGGAAGATAAAAATCGAAAAATGATTTGTCGGTACCCATACCTGTGCGTGTATAATACACTCAGTGAATATACATAAGGTCGCAATTTGTTTACGGGATGAAGTCATACAAGGGTGAGGGGTATATTTATGCACATATGTATGTGTGTGTACACTAGTCTACCTGATCCACGGCCAATTGATTACATCTGGAGGGAGGATTAGCTCTGCAGTATGGAATTAAATAGGGATTTATCAACGACAAAAAATATATAGGTACGTGCACAATAGGAGCTGTCTACAACAATTAAATACGAAAAAATCACGGGTAGACATGATATAATAATATAAACGTGTGCATAAACGTTTGGATGGGGGGAGAAGGGACGCAATGGCTGGAGAGTATGAAAAAAAAAATAAAATAAAGAAAAAAAGGGCAACAAACATTATTCTCTAGCAAATATAAGGCCCCGTCCATGTGCGTGTGCGTGTGTGTTTGTGTGTACAAAAGAATGAGCCCCTGCAGGATATAGATTTCGGACGTGGATAGAACAGCCGGCCATTTCAATACATGTTGTTGACGAATCGCAGTATACAATAGGATATGGACTGAAATTATTACGATAAACGAAAATATTGTTCTCCGTGTCTGCACCCCTTACAAAAAAAATACGTAACACGTTTCAATAATTATTATTGTTACTTTGAACTCTTTTGTACAAGAAATGCCGGTTATGAGGCAACTCTGCAGCAGTTTATATATGGTATGTTTAACCGTGTTGTGCCCAATAAACGCGAAGCAGTGTTGTTAAAAAACTAGGCAGGGGTATATACAATATATACTTAGAAATGCGATTAAACTGAATGTTCAAAATGGCCAATTTATTAGTATTACCTACATTCCTTATGTAAATATATACTATGCTGATGTAGGTATATACTAATAAGTCAGGGAACATAATATTCCGTTTCAATACATAAACATTAAACATTAATATAGAATTGAAACTATTAACTAGATTAAAAAAAAAAAAATAATAATAATATATTTATCTATTAAATCTTGGTCAGAACTTCTTAGTAGACTAAAACAAGATGATAAGAAAAATAGAAACTAGGTTACACTATAAAAATATGTAAGAGCTGATTAGGAGTCAATAAAAGTAAGTTCTTGAGAGCAGTAATCGCTTTATACGGTTATGTTAGGTTAGGTCACTGTATAGAATTATATATTTTATTTATAAAATAGTAATAAAGTGYTATATTTTAATTGGGTGTGTTTTTATTAGTGTATATACACGTTAGAAGTGATCGACATATATGACAATATATATACATTGATAATAATTTATGTACGCACAATTATAGTTTTTTTATCGACTCGGTGAAAACACGAATATTATAAAGTACCTAATATATAAATAATAACGACTCATAATATAATATTGTGTAGGTTCGATAATAACGTTTAACGAACATACAAACAAGTGTCAAGTAAATACCTTGGTATTAAACGATTTATGGACAAATTTGACCACCACATATATTGCTATTAAGCCGCGTCCACACCTGAGCACGCATAGACCGAGCATGTGTGCTCACGCCGAGCAGATCGACTCGGCTCGCGTTCGCTGTGCGTCAAAATCATGTAAATTTGTAGAACGCACAACATGATCACACATGCTTGGTCTGTGCGTGCTCAGGTGTGGACGCAGCTTAAGGTATATAATATTATGTTAATAATAATAACACTACTAACCTTCATCCTGATTATTTCTGAAGCATTTCCTCGACCATCTTTCAGAATATTTTCCCATAAGATCTGACATATAAAAGTGTCCAGAGATGTCCTTAAAATGCCATCGGGAACTTCCAATGTGACAGTAGCCACGTTCTAAAATTATATGAAAATAATATTAATAAAAGTGGCTGTATATAATCATGATATATACATAAATGTAATATAACAGCGGTTCCTAAMCCATGGGCAGAGGCTCACTTGTGGTCCGCAGACTCTGGTCGAGAGTCTATGCTAAGGGTCAGAAAATTTATATTGGAACCAAAATCGAGAATCTTTATATATTTATTCTACCGTCTTATTTGTATGTGTTTATATTTTAGAACATTATAACTGTATATTAGGTAAGCGGGTCTCAATGTTTTTATTTTACATTATTGGTCGTCCACACAACTAAAAAGGTTGGGAGCCGCTGTAATATAAAATTATATATAGTATGAGTTTACTTGGTGTATATGAGTTTTCCCTTCAAAACTTTCTACGTTTCTTATCATTTCGTCGACCCTGCAATAAGCCACGCGTATAAACGTATGAATAATAAAAATATTAGCGTTTCACATATATGATAAACGCAGATTGTGGAGCAGGTGGGTGGTAGAGGGTAGTTTCTGATATAACGACTATTTGACTTGATAATTATTATTGTCAATATAGGTTTTAACATAAAAAATAAATAAATCAGTAATAATAATAATTGTCGAATAACAACAATAATATTTAATATGGATGACATGGGGTTTATCGGAGGCAGTTTCGGTCAAATATGCGGCTGATGAGAAGTCAAGACCCCTCCTGCTGTTGGGCATTCGACCACCACCGCGACTATTTAGACGGATCAGAGATAAGCCGCAGACTAATAGGGTGTTTTTATTATAGCATATACGATTATTGCGGCTACCATATTATTTCATGCGTACATACGAAGAGTGTCTTCACTGTTTGGAAGCCCGAGAAATTCAATAATAATAATAAATTATTTCCGTTAATAACGTACACGTGAACATTTGGAAGTCATAATGTTGGGTTTCCAATCTAATGAATCGTAAATTCCCCAATGAAAGGGATAAGCGGGTTTATGGCACTTATGGCACGTTTCGACATGGTAGCCTAATAACATTGGTACAATTTTATGCGAACTACAGACAGATGGGTCATCAATATTAGTATTTCATAAAAGTGGTTTTGGTGTGTATGCAATATTTATATTAATATAATGAATGATGGCTATTTAGTGTTTTGATTGAATTTGAACACATTTTAAAAGGTAATCCAAAACATATAAAACGTAAAAGCTAAATATTTATTACGAATGTTTTGCGGTTTAAATTAATGGTTATTTGTTTAATATAAACTGTTTTATTAAATATAATTTAATATATTACTTTATAAACAATCGTTAATAGTGAACATGTGAACCTATTTTAAAAGATTTTAAAGTTATCTGAATTAAAAAATAAATTTATATAACACGTCATGGACATTTTGTTTTTAAAAATATTATAATTAACTTAGCAGACACAGAAATTACTATACATTTCTGATCTTTTGAGCTCGTGTTTTGTATGTGTACTAAATAGTTAAATCAGGACCGCGAAGGTAGAAAAATAAAAGTTGATTAATAATTAATTAATAACTAACGAAAATACCATGAACTATTTCTGAAGATAACAATACTATTTATAAAGAAATTCATATCATGATTAAATTATAATATTATACAATATACTATAATATAATGCTATCATGCAATATTTTTTTTTTACTTATTATTATATGCTTGGATGGATGTTAATGTATGAATCGTACCTATATAAATAATAATTTAAAATGTTTTAGTTTGTTACATTTTGGAACATATTTTATTCAGTTAAACTATAAGATACTAAGTTAGAATTATTATAATTGTATGACATAATAAAAAAAAAAAACATAAGTAAACAATGAAAAATAAATAAAATAAAACCATTTTAATAAGTAACTAGTAAGTAACTACCTACAATCTACATACTATAACTATATTTCACTTGATAATTTTTTCTAAAGATAATATGTCATTTGGATATAAATTTGTAATTCTTATGTGTCGTGAGTTAAAAAAAAAAATAATAATTCTTTGTATAGTGTATACAGAAATAGTTAAATAATAGTATCATCGTTTCAACTTAAGATATTGATTGTAGATTATTTTCATACGTTGAGAATTTGGTATATGTACATATTTTAGTGTGACTAAAAATATAACTTATGAATTATAATACTATTCATGGAATATTCTTTAAACAACATATATTTTCTTTGTCACATATTTAGTAGACTTTCTATTTCCTTTAATTATTGTATGAACACATACTGTATACTGATTTTTATATAACTAATAAGAACCTATAAATGTTATCATGGTTTGTAACTAAATCATTAAAAATATCCGATATCATCACATATTTATAATAACATGAAAACTTCAAGAACAGGCACAACGCTTACAAATATCGAATCTGCAGTATGTTACTGAAAATCACTCCTTACAATATTTTAAGTATCATATTATACTATTATATATTATTATTATAATTCGATTCATAACGTGGTGAATATAGAATATATATATATATATATATATTAATATATTATTCATAATATTATTTATAAGACGCGATAACTCGGTCGAAGCAGATGTGCGGCGCACGTGTGTTTAATATCGTATTATTACATATATATATATATATATTGATGCCGGGGATTTGTGGACTATGACTGCGGTTGAGGGAGGAGACCATGTAAAGGGTTAATTATATGTATATATAGGATATAGGTGGTTTAATATAACGCGGCGATACTAGATCGGTAGCGGCGGGTGGCGATTTTCTATCCCTGTATATCTATATTATATATATATATACATACAGAAGCATTATATTCACGTAAGTATTGATAGGAGCAGCGCGCAGGGATTATCAACCTAGGGCGCGAGCACACACGGCCACCTCGTTCACTTTTACGCTCTCTTGAGCTCATTTATGCGTACGCACCGCGACATTACTCGTATTATTACTATTATATATAGTTCGATTGTGCCTTATAATATATATATATATATATTATGATATATTTTATGATATACTTACGCATAAAATATATTTTACTATGGTATTGTCCAATGCTCCTCCCTCCCCCACCACCATCAGTTCATGCTGCTGTACCCCTGAGGTATTATATTTTGATATTAAAACTAATAAACAKCTGTACACCGGAACGTAGTATAAGTAGGTAATAATATTGAAAATTTTCACGACGATGTTTACTTAAGTATCGACGCAATAGATTGAAAATAATACACAAACTTTAAAATTATAAAGTTTTATATTATTTCATAGGTAATGTATGCGATGTTTTTAGAAAATGCATTTATATTTACCCTATTACTAATATAAAGATAAATTAATAATGATAAGTAATATATTAACACATTTTAAAATATCCTTATAAATAAAAACTGATACGTCGTATTTGACCATAATTGTTTTTCGTATTCAATGATTTATTATTGAATTCAAGTTACATCCAGTATAAACAATGATGAAGATGATGACCTATTTAGTAACGAAGTTATAGGTACTAAAAATCAACGATACAGCAGAACTTTTCCAGTTATAATTTTTTGTTAATCAGTATATTATACAGAATTGAAAAAAATTAAATAAAATCCATGAATTTTGATTTTGTATAGTATCAAAAATTCAAAAATCTAAATTTTTATTAGCTACAAGTGAATACTGATTTACATTGATATCAATATGTTATATTGATTTTGTGTAAAAGATATCAACCGTTTTATTCAGTCATATACTATAATTATTAATCACGGAATATGACAAAAACAAATGTATATTCCACTTCTAAGATAGATCTTGTTATTTCATAATATAATTTTGATTTGCTACTTTTTGGATAACTGCAAAATGCTTGTGAATACATTTTATTACAATTTTCCCATTTGATATTTTAAACAATAGTAATTTTATTTACACGTTGGCATAAGAGTAGAAACAGAATATTCATTATATTATCGTGCAAAATTGGAATTTCAGAAACAAAGTGTAAATATATTATACATTATAATTTAACAACGAAATACTTATATATTATTACAGAATACAACACAACATGTGTATAAAAAATGTAATATAATGACGATACCTATGTGATATATAAATTACAATGTGATATATTGTAACTAATAATAACTATACAAGAATAATGAAAATACAATTTAAATGTATTGTTTGTTTGTTTTTTTTTTTTACATACATACTAATAGTCTTCTAAATAGACTAAATAACGTAGTATTTCTAACTGCCATTACGACGTCTTAAGGAATAAGGACCTAATAGCTACCTTATATTAACCAAACATTTGTATAACATAATAAACCTACGGATTTAATTAAAATTATAAAACCTAGTTTTTAATTATTTAATTATCTTATGAATAAACAAAATTAAATAAATGTACTTAATAGCGTATATACATGGAAGTACCCAAGTTTAAAAATAATATAGCACTTGACTGCAAAGGGAAATAAACGAGTAGGTATATACAGGTATAAATTATTATATTTGTAGGTAGTGAAGTATTTAAAGTATACTAGCAGTATACTATTTACTTAACATAGTATGCAAATTAATTTAACAATTAAATTATTTTAAGTATAACAACAAAATTAAAGAAATCCCTTTGCTTTATACTAGATGACTAGTACCTATGTTGCGTTATTGCAGAGCATATAGTTTTTATTATACAGCACTGTGAGTTTCAAACTTTAATTCAATGATAAATTATTGCATACAATAAACGATTTTGAACAAAAATACCTATGGTCGTGTCAACATATTTTTAAGGATGTTTTATAATATTGTATTACATATTTACATAAGACAATTTTTAAGTATTGTCAATGTTTTCCTTTGATGAAATCATMTTTTCTTTGCATTTTTATTAAATTTATCATTATAGACCATAATACAGAAATACCTACTATATTAATATTAATTTTCTAATAATATTTATGTTAAAAAGTAGGTCAGCATTTCGGTGGTAGGTGTTTGTACATCGACCCTTCGGTCCTCGGACAGGATAGTGTAATTCTACTGTATTCGATTTGAATGCCAATGATTGCATTTGATAAAAAAACGATTCAAAACGGACGAGGGAATCTTTTTTATTTAATTTTATTTGTTTTTATGGTGATAAACAAAGCGTTATAAGAACAGCTTAAGAACGATTTATATAAACATAGGTAATTTATATAATTATAATTAGGAAATACCATAAAAATAAAAAATAAATAATAAAAAGCTCAAAAGTCACTCAAATGTTTTGAAAATGTTACCATGTCTAGGTAAGGCTAATATAAGTAAACAACCAAAATTTAAAGTTTTTACGAATGTTTTTAACCGAATTACAGCAAAAACTGCCAAAATTAAAATACCTATCTATAAATAGCTTAAAAATGGCTAAAATTTTCCGAACTTCAAACCGTAAGGAACAAAATCCAAAATACAACAAAAAAGATCTTTCGCGTGACATTTTTCATTTGAAACAATATTTCTAGTAGAAAACGTCGTCCATAATTATTTAATATTATAAAATCATTAAATCTTACTTTTTTTATCCTTTAACAGCTTTTATTTCGAGTACGGTTTCGAAAATCGAAAAATTACCTCTCTAAAGTACCAACTCAAGAACATAACATTTTAGAAAAAATGCTACATTTGATAATTTTGAGCAAGTTTAGAGAAAGAAAAAGTGTTTACAGAATCAAAAAGAAAAGAAAGAGAAATAACATCATTGTAAAACCAATATATTCTTCGCTCCGCTCAGAATCTAAGAAATTATACTTACGTATTTTTGATAATTTTTCATTGCTATAACTATATATAAACATTAAGGTTATGAAAAATATTGTCTAAAATTGTCAAGCTTTCTTTAAAAAAAGTATAGATATTATGCTTTGTGCATAAAATGGTAAATTTTTMAAAACTAGTAACCATTTAATATAATCCTTGCCGAATACTATACTCTGCATAAAATATAATTATATTCAAATTATTATGAATTTAAAAGTACAATATACAAAATAGTCTAAATATTTTTTGATAAAAATGAAAAAACAAAATTTATAAAAAGTACCAATATGAAATCAAAAATGACTCCAAAAAAGAATAACGGGAAATTTATAGTTTGACAGATGGCCATGAAGTGTTTAAAGGGTGAACTATGGATATGAGGGTGGAAAATTATATTTGCTTTATTACACGACTATTAATAATCTGACAAGTGGCCTTATGGTTACGTATAAAAGCGCATTCACTATTGCATTTACCAGAAAAACGTTTACTCGTAGAATCACGGGATACGCTTATTGGACTTCCGTCGTCAACGGAAAGCTTAAGTTAAATCATATAGTCATATATAGGTTAATAATTATTAATTATTATTAGTATTAATTTACTACTATAATGTTAAATTATAATACAGTGAAACCTCTAAATACCGGACACTCGGTCGCTTAAATGTCGTCCGCTATTAAGAGGGGAAAATACAAAGAGTACACATTTCGCCGTTCCCAAAATTCCGTCTGTTATTAAAGGAGGTTTCAATGTATTAGTTATAACTATTTAAATATACGTAGTACCTATCACAGTAATTGTTTTGTCAAGATTATCTCTAAATAACAGAATATGTTATAATATAACTTATACACAACCTTTTAAAAATACCTATATTAAATTATAAGAGCTAATACACAATAAGCGTATTTAATATCCTTAAAACAGTATATTATTTAAGTTTTAATTGATAAATACCTTAAACTGTTAGACGAAGAGTAAGATTTCAAATCGAGAATTTTATCCAAGTCAATTCTGAAAGGATATCAAAAGTTTATAATACACTGAATATTATCACAATTGTATGAATGGGATCGGTGCATTACTTTATTATTTTATAACCTGTAATAAATTACCTGCTATGCGATGTTTCGATAATTTCGCAACTTCCATTAATTGATCTATAACATAAGCAAATATATAAATTTAAAGTAGATGATATACATAGATACATTTTTAAAATTAAATGAATAGTATTACCTAATATTGGTTTTTAACGTTTCTAACGTACTTCTGTCGACCAAATCGATTTTATTGATCAGTATAATATCAGCTAATGCAATTTGTCTGCAATAAAATTACAAAAAAAATGACAAATATATTTATATCACTAAATAAGAATTTCTTTTTGGTTGTCTACTTGTTTCATCTATAAAAGGTATACACAAAATTTAAAATACACCACAGGATTTCAGGCTTCTATAACGCTGTTTTATTTGTTCAATTGTCATTGGCTTTAAAATATACACTCACACACACACATATAAATGTGTATGCATCAACATAAGTTGTTTAGATATTTCACTTTATATAAAATCGGAGGAGGGCTGATGGTTTGCAGATTTGATTATATATAACCGAGACGGATCTCCGTTTCCATGACATTGATTCGATTTGGACATATTATTCTGTGTCCCGTCGTTTTTGCATAATAAACCCAACAGAGCATGTACGTAATCTATTTATGCTTGTCATCAGAACGAATTTATCCATTTTTTAGCAATTACAAATCCCACCACAGTAAAATAATATACATATAAATAAAACGACTCACATAAATAATATAGAAGTAATCACGTATGAAATAATATATTATAATTTATTAGGCACTTATATAATTCTCAGATGTATTTAAAATTTTTATTGCTGATTATTATCAGTACAGGAAACAATGTTATACGCATTGATTAAATTATTTAAAAGCAATAATAATACTAAAATATCTTATAATTTTTGTTTTATTAGAATATACACTATACAGTTGGATATGCGGTGAAATTTATAAAACAACAAAGAAAATAGGTTTACTGTATAGTTTAGCAGGTATCGAGAGTATCTCGTTATTGTAATATGTGATATTAAATTTGAATTTAATGATAAATCATTACATACAAAAAACGACTATAGATAAAACGAAAATATTATTTAAATAGCTATTAATTAATATAGTAATTTACTAAACAATTATAATTTATAAGTTATACTTAGTTGAATTGAATTTTTCTGAATAAAATTAATTTATTATATATACATTATTTAAAGAAAAAAACTGTTCACAGCAACTGTGGTCTGTGGCCATTTATTATATTATTAAAGTAGTATAATATATTTATATATTATATCAACAGGGTGATTCACCAAGTATGGTCACCCTTACTTTTTTTATAAATAATTAATAACAATAATTTATTCAAATTCTGAGCTTTGGGATTTTCAATAATATTCAGTCCAATTTTTTTAGAAAGTTCTTGATTTAAAAAAAAATTTTTATGACATAAACAATCTGTACATTTAGCACAATAAGATTATTTGATAACAGTATAGAAAAAAACAAAACAAAAAGAAATAAAATGAAAGGTGTGATTAAGCAGMTATCTATGCATTAGTGATTGTGTTACTTAAGGAATGTATTTTGGTGATATTATCATCTGTTTTTAAAATAAGAACCTCAGTTTCACTATAAATTATTAAGTACTTGGACATTTTTTTTGAAAATGTCGATGTACTTAATTCAAAATTCAAACGATAGCCACTTCTCATTTATCATAAAAATATTTGTGCTAAAAAGAGTAATCCTCAAAAAAAGTTTTACAAAAAAACAAAAAATATGCAACACTGGATCTAGAATTCATTTTACATTTTTAGACATAATGGAATTTTAAAAATAGTTTGTATGATTTTAAACTATTTATATTATAAATAATCTATTTACTTTACATCATTCTATTCTATATCGATATTGTGTTACTTTACATAAATTAATTACAATAATATGCGATATTTGGTAAAGATTGGTTCAAACCTTTTTGACTTATGTATAACCCCACTTCGCCTGAGAAAAAAAATATAAAACACGATACTTTAATACTGCATATGAATATACGAATATCAGTTTTAATTTACTTCAGACTTGTTTACGGTCAAATCGCTTAATGAACTAATTCGACCGAGATGAACAATCCACCTGTGGCGGATTGGATAAAGCACTTGGTATCTCTTTGAACGTAGTTCAAACTACACTCTAAACTTTTCTTGTCAACATCGGTCTATTTTTGAGTATTTACGTTAAAAACACATTCAATTCTATTCGAGTATTCAATGGCAATCATTTATAAATAAACTAATTAATTAATGTCTACAAACGACAAATATTATCATAATCTGAATATAACCGCAATAGTAAATTTTCGATTTCAATCTGGAATTGCAATAGCTTTGCGTGAAAACAATAAATAAATGCTAATTTTGGTAAATAATTTTTTGGTGAACGCCTACATAGGAAGTACGAGATACTGCGAAAATTTCAAATCTCTATAGATATATTATAATTTAGGTTCTACGCTGATAACTGATAAATCAGGACACGTTCGATTATTATACATAGGTAGGTATATAGATCCTTATAGAGTCTGACAGTTTGTGCTCAGAATAGTTTTTCGTATGCAATAATTTGTAATTATTATATTCAATTTAACACAACGAGGTTGGGTCACTAGCAGTGGTTCAATTCAAAGGTAAATTAAGTACCTATACATTCGAAACATACTATACAACAGAGCAACTTCTATGGTTTATTTTTTATATTAATTGCATTTAATATTTATATGATGACTATTCTATTCATAAGAATCATAAGATCCATGCGAACAAATTTCAAAAACCAAACATCCTAACTAAACGTCACGTTTTAGTGAATCATGAAATATGTTGACAGTCTATTTTATTTGTCAGTGACTTAGGAATTTTTTGTCAGTTGCTATGTATAAATATTATATACTCTACAGGATATTATAATAAAATATATTACGTAATATATAAACTACACTCTGCTTTATATATTGGCAGTGTCGCATACGCAAAACCCAATAATCGCCATGCCTTTGACACGCCAAGTGGAAACTACATCGACTCATAAAAAGGCCAAAGGGTCCGAAAAAAATGAATAAAAATGCTTGCTTACATAATATAATGCTTACCAAGCCCCTAAGGTGAGTATAGGAACAAAATAAAGCATATATTTATGTCATAAAATATGCAATGTGTAGGTAGAAAGGAACCTTTATTATTATACCACATAACAAAGCCTTTTTATTATGGAGTTATAAGGTTTATATAAAGAGTTATTATCTAGTGGCCGCGTATGCACCGCGTATTATACGTGTTCCAAAGTAAATATTTATATATTTTTAGATTTATTTCAATATATTAATGAAGATGAGTTAAATATGAATAGTTGTATCATTTTTAAATATTACCTATACCTACCCTTTTAATTATTTTTGAAACATAATGAATATAATTTAAAGTATATGGTTGGGTAAATTTATGGAAACGTAATTATATGGGAAATAATTCCTTGGAGAATTTAGAAATGGCCAAAAACATAGAACAATAAAATTCACGTTATAAATAACTATTTATTTATCATTATTTTATACATTCTATATCCTATGGTGTATATACCTACCTCAGTTAAACATTCTAATTTTGATGAGAATATAAACCTAAACCTACATAATTAACGTATAAGTGAGAAACGTGTGTATTGTCTTCATCTTATTACGAACATATAACATGGCAAATTTGTGTTTAGCAGTTTCATTTTAATTTTAATAATATACAACTCTATAGAGTGAATTTACCTATGATTAAACTTTAAGTTAAACATTATCTATGTTTCTTGGTGTGTTTTTACTAAATTTTAATTTTTAAGCCAAATTAAATTAACATTATGGATTAAATTATCCATATTTATCTAGATAGATGATATTATGATAATAATATAATATAATACCTATCTACATTCATAATCATAATTAATAAATTGTTATAATAACTAAAAACAAATTCTAACACTCAACTAGTCTTTAAAACAAATATGCAAAAGGCGGGTAAGTGGATGTCGCTCTGCTGTACATTAGGTGGTGGGGTGGACCTCTGACTAGGGTAGGTTAGATTTGAATGCAATGATAGGTATCATTGT